ATTTAACGTAATCTATGAGAATTGAGAACTAAAATTAAAAACGTATAAAATTTAGGGACTAAAGATAAAAAAAAAATTAAAAAAAAAAACAAAACAAAACAAAACAAAACAAAAGATCTCTACAAATAGTCTTAAAATTTTAGTTGTTTTCACTTTTCGTCCTTAATTTACATAGATTCTATTAAATGTTAACGCTTAGTTAATGAAATGAACAAAACTGCAATAAAATAAAATCTCAAAGATTAAAAGATTTTGAGTATAACTATCATGATATCACAAGTTCATAATAAAATTTAAAATATGTAATGAAAAATATATGTATTTTTTAGTTTTTTACGAGTTTCGGATCGTGTTCAGGTTAGGCGGGTCCAACCCGAAATTGACCCGTATTTTTCGTATCAATTTCAGGTCGACCCAATTCTGACCCGAACCTTTTTTTTCTCAACCCTAACCCGCAAAATTCGTGTCATTTTTTAGTTGTGTCATCGTGTCGTGACCCATATTGCCAGCCCTACATTTGTATCTCGAGTATTTATAAATGTACTATCAATATTTGAATCGCAATTCAAATTTAATGCATATTTCATTTTTTAATTTTAATTTTATTATAGTTAAAATTTTTTATAAAAAGTTATATTAAATTTTTTTTGTTACAGTTAGAAGCTCTCACATAAAATCACATCTCAATTGAAAATTCGAATCGATTAACTGAACGAGACCTTAAATTTATTTTTCTTTTAGTATAATATTTTTTCTCGTATGAATTCACTTTTTAACTTAAATTCTCAACTCGAATGAATGAAATTAACGGAGGTCGCACGCATTTGTCTAGTTTGGGTTAATTTCACAAATAGTCCTGCAGGTTTACTTTCAATATCACTTTAGTCTCTGACTTTTAAGACGTCTCACAGTTAGTCTATGAGATTTTACTCTATTACAATTTTGGTCATTCTATTAATTTGGTGTTAAATATTTAACGGAATCTATGAGAATTGAGAACTAAAATTAAAAACGTATAAAATTTAGGGACTAAAGATAAAAAAAAATTAAAAAAAAAACAACAAAACAAAACAAAACAAAAGATCTCTACAAATAGTCTTAAAATTTTAGTTGTTTTCACTTTTCGTCCTTAATTTACATAGATTCTATTAAATGTTAACGCTTAGTTAATGAAATGAACAAAACTGCAATAAAATAAAATCTCAAAGATTAATTGTGAGACGTTTAAAAAGTCAAAAAACAAAACAAAACAAAAGATCTCTACAAATAGTCTTAAAATTTTAGTTGTTTTCACTTTTCGTCCTTAATTTACATAGATTCTATTAAATGTTAACGCTTAGTTAATGAAATGAACAAAACTGCAATAAAATAAAATCTCAAAGATTAATTGTGAGACGTTTAAAAAGTCACAGACTAAAGTAAAATTGAGAGTGCCCGTTTGGTTGGAGGATTCGTTCTCTGATTCGAATCATGGTTTATAGTTTGCTACAGTATTTTCTCTCACAAAAAACACACGTAAATTGAAAATGGTTTTAATCTCATGGTTCTAATCCATAAACCATAAGGGACCATTTTTTAAATTATTCTCGAGTATTCAGAAATGTACACTTTTGACTCATCCGTTAGGGAGCTCTTTTAGTAGGCTCTAAAAAATTTATCAGTAATTTTTTTTTATTTTAAATCATTAATTCTAATTAAAATTGTATCAAACTAAAAAAAGTATACAAAACATATAATTTCTTATTCATGTCTAATGATTGAAAGTAAATACCTATCATAAGTTTATTATTATTTTTTTAAACATATCAGTGAAACTCTCCATATGTTAATCAACTATTTATTCTCGATAAAATGTAACATGTGAAGGATACATGTGAGTTTTAAAGTGGGTAATTTAAAAGAAAAATATTAAAAAGAATAAAAAAAATCATAGGGTGGCACAATCCTCTCTTTTCTTAGAAGACGTTTGATTTATGTATTCAGAATCATGATTCAGAACCATTATCATTTTACGTGTATTTTTTATGAGAGAAAACACCGTAGAGAACCATGAATCATGATTCAGAATCATTGATGAATATAAGAAACAAAATGTAGAGAACCATGAATTATGATTCTTTTAAATATGTGTTTTTAGCTTTTTAAAATCTTTTTTTTTCTTGAAATATAAAATTTATCAACAAAATGGTCAAAATTATACATCTCGTAAACGATATAATATTATCCCACTAAAAGTTAATGTCGGGTGGGTTAAAGTGAAGGAAGTGCATAAAAGTTTATTAACAAAGAGTGCATTTTTTTTCTTCCTTGATTCAGTACCTGGAGATATGATGAAATTGCATCAAAATAAAAACAAAATGACAAACTAACCAAACTTGATACATATTTAACTTTTGGTATGTAAAAATTTGAAAGAAAAAAAAATAACAAACGCCTATTTATTTATAGTCACTTGATACATATTTAACTTTTGGTATGTAAAAATTTGAAAGAAAAAAAAAATAACAAACGCCTATTTATTTATAGTCTTTTTTTTTTTACTAATAATACAACCAGGATACTTCGTATTGTAGAGGTAGAAATATGAGTTACAACACCAAACACGACACAAAGTAAACCCAGTAATATGAGTCACGATACAATAACACAACTCAAAAACAGCACGAATTTCGTGGGTTAAGTTTGAGAAAACAGTGGGTTGACGCAGAATTAAATCGACCTAAAATTGACACGAAAAACACAAGGTAATTTTGGGTTGGACCTGTTTAACTCAAACACGACACGAAACTCGTAAAAAACTAAAAAAATATATTTTTTTAATTGCATATTTTTAATTTTATTATGAACTTTGATATTATGATAGTCATACTCAAAATCTTATACTATTTTTTGCTTAGTATTGATGGACGTTATTATATTTTAGCGTGTTATGAATTTTAATTTATTTCTAATATGTAAGAAATTAAAGAAAAGTACATCATTTTCGTGTCAATTTCGGGTTCACGGGTCAATTTCATGTCACGGGTTATTTTCATGTCGTGTCGTGTCAACCAGTAAGGTTGTCGTGTCATGCTCGTGTTGTGGTTTTAAAAAAAATTTTATGTCACGGGTTGTATTCTGATTGATTGTAAATTTAAGAAAAAATGACCAAAACATGACACGTGATACGAATTATCATCCCTAACACAAATTACTTATGGTTAGGGTTAAAGAAAAAGGCATGGGTAAGTCTCGTGTTCACAAATTCTCAACTCATTGAAACGGGTCAAGTTTATTTAGTTCGTTGATTCGAGTTTTTAATTTGAGTTGAGATGTGATTTTATGTGAGAGCTTTTTACTGTAACAAAAAAGTTAGATGTGATTGTTTATGAGAGCTTTTTACTGTAGCAAAACTCGAATCGGTGAAATGAACGGGTCATTTGAGTCCAACTCCCGTGACATTATTCTTGAACGAATCACTTCCGAATTAATTGTGTGTTTGACCCGAATCAAACATGCTTCAATTGTTGCTGAAATATTGATTTTTTAAAGAAATTTCATGCATGCACTTAGACTTTTAGTATTTAAAATTTGCAACAAACCAATCTCAATGTTACTTAATATAAGAAACTCTAAAACTAAAAGAAACTCTCTGTTTTTTTTTTTTTTTTTTAAAACTCGTGCAAAATTGGATCTAAAATGATATGGAATTCATGTTGTTTACGGGTTCACAAGTCAATTATGAGTTACAAGTTCCGAGGTTGGTTTGTTTTATGAGTTAATTTCATGTCATGAATATTTTATAAGTCGTGTTGTGTCAACTTGTTAAATTAAAGTTGAGAAGTTGTGATTGAAAAATTACACACAATAAGTAACGTAATACAATTTCATCATTATGATTCAAATTTCATCTCAATTCACAGTAAACGTTTTAACAACACAATAATATTATCAGAACGACACAAAAATAAAGAGTTTTTTTTATGATAATATACTTATTGATAATACATTTTTAAAAGGTTAAAGTCGTATAAAATAATCGTAATAAAAATGTATGCGAAACTAAAAAAAATATAATATAACTCTTATTGTTTATAATAGGGGAAAGACATCATATGCGTTATATATATATATATATGTTTCTAATAATTAAATCTCATCAAAATTAAACAGTACACCGAACTAATAGTTTCTAATATATATTCGACAACTAATAAAATAGACATATGAGCATTCATTTCTTCAAGGGTGCATTTATGGTGGAGAAAGATATTTTATTAGGAATTGTGTTTTAATCCTGAATCAATGCTTCAACGGTGTGATTGCAATACGAGACTTCTGTACATTTTTAATATAGATCATTAAAAACTAATTTAATAATTAAAAAATAATGTATTCTTAACAGTAAAATAAAATAGCATTTCCCATTAAAAAAAATAATCCCCTTGTTTAAATCCCACCGTAAAAATTCCCCCGTGATAAAGGTTACTCATAAGATATTTTTTTTTATCGGTATCCAAAATTTTCCCAAATACTATCAAAAGGGCAAGTGGACATAGGGGTCTAGGAATTAGCGGGTGGTCTACCTTGTCCTTTGGTCAAAACGTGTCTCCACGTAAAAACTTACTCCCTCCTTTCTCATCCCAACTCCCACAACCCCACAACATAGACCGCTTTCTCTTCCGAATTTACCCTCCAAAATCCCTCCAAATTACAAACCAGTCCCCATCATATTAACATCATTGGATTGGATCAGACAGACATATCACACCCCGTCTATACATACAGGGATACAGCTAGTTCACAGGTGGTGATGCACTGAGATATTACACTGCAACTTGCAAATCACTCAGAAAACTCATAATAAAAGAGTAACGGAAACAACATGAATGTAAAATGATTCAACAAAACCACTCTTTTTTTTTTTCCTCTCTCTCTCTCTCTCTCTCTCTCCCCGCCGCCGCCATTGATAACCACGTGGTGCTTTTACTCTGTTTCAGGAAAAAAAAAAAAAACCGAAACCAAAACTTTTTTCTTGGGTTTTCTTCTTCTGATAAGTTCTCTTCTTCTTATCTCTTTCAGTTTAGTCCTTTAAATCTCATCTGGGGTTTCTGAGTTTTTCTGTCTTATCAAAGTTTATTAGTTCGAAAATGGCTAAAGTTAACCAAGTGATCAGCTTTGGTCAGACCCAGATGCCGTTTCCGAAATACGAACAAAACCCAACAAACTTTTTCTGGAGATTCTCGCCGGAGAATTCGAACGACAAGGCCCAATTATCGGCTTCATCGACTTCGGAATCGGAATCCGAAGAACCGGAAATCAATCTCTGCCTCTCTTTGGGAGGACTCTACGCGAAACCCACCAAGGAAAATCAAAATCCGTTGGCGCGGTCGTCGTCGATCGCCGGAGAAGAATCGGAGACCCACCGGAGAGAAATTCCGTTTCTTTCTCTGTCGAGGTCTTGCTCGCTGCCGACGGAGAGTAATAGTAACGGTGAAGAGGCGGTCAGGCTTCGAGATTTGCAGTATATGAGGAGAATGGCGGCTAAGAAGAGATTGGCCGAGAAGCAGAGAGGTTTCAGGGAAGAATTTGAGGAAGAGATGTCGCCGGAGTCGGAGATGGCGGCCTGGGCGGCGACTTCTGCGGCCAAGAATGCTGCTTTGAGTCGTGCCATTTGTAAGATTCAAGGTGTGCTTTATTTGATTCTTTGTTCTTCTTGTTTATTTTTTTATTTTATCATGTTCATTAGGAGTTTAACCTAGTAGCGGAGTCTTACCTTATTGGGGGGTTTTTTTTTTTTTTTTTTTTTTTTTTTTTTTTTTTTTTTGAGAGTTACGAATTTTGAACTAAAATTATAATGCAACATTATTTTTCTTTCATTTGAAGTTTAGATTAAAAAATTGTAAATTTGTATTGTAGTGTTTTAACAGTACTTTAGTAGTTGCTTACTTGGTTTTGGGTACTTGGTTGTGTCAGAACACAGAAAACATGTTGCACTTTTTTTTTCCTTCTTTTAGAAAATGCATATGCAATTTTCTGAGAATGTAATATCCGTACACATGTTCTGGTATTTTTTACACTGGCTTATCATTGTCTGATTCATATGTCTAAGCCTGTGTGTCTCGTGCATAGAAATTCTTTTATAGACTTGTATTCTTTTTGGACTTGGAGTTTGAGCTTTTGGGGCATAACATAAGCAAACTCCTAAACAATTTATTTTTTTATTTTTTTAAAAAAGGAAACAAAAAAGTAAACTCCTAAACACTTAATCTTATTGTAAAGAATGTTACCAAGAACCAAGATTAAAATTGGACAATCACAACTATAACTTCTAGATGTGATTTGGCATAAATGAAATTTATACTTCATGGGGCTTTTTAGTGCAAAATCAATTTGCCCATTTGGATTAAAAGAAGAGGAAAACTTTCTATCCCATGTTTTGCTAGAAATGTGTCTAGTAAATTCTTCCTGCTCAGTTAAATGCATAAGAATATGCAGCACCGAATTGTCTCAATTCTCAAGAGGGAGAATTTTGTGATTTTTTTTTTTTTTTTTATTTGCCTCAACTTCCAAAAACTCGTATTATTTCTTTTCCATTTCTGCATTATTCTTTACCAATCACTGATGAGTTTTTGTGACACCAACTCACACAGGACAAGAATGTTTAACTGCCGCAAGAGACAACACCGGTTTGAAGAACACCGCGGAACCTCCTTCCATGTTCTCAAAGGCGTCTGATGGGGGCGAATTCGTCAACCCTTCAGAGACCAATAAACTGCAGCAGAATCCACTGAAGAAGGTCAAAGCTTCAAGTGGGAAAGTTTTGGACAATTGGGTGGATGTGATGAACAGAATGCCTAGTGTGACAACCACTGGGGATGGTCCTAATGGAAAAAGAATTGATGGGTTTCTTTACAAGTACACCAAAGGTCAAGTGAGCATAGTGTGTGTTTGCCATGGAAATTTTCTCTCCCCGGCTGAGTTCGTCAAGCACGCTGGCGGGAAGGAGGTGACGAACCCGATGCGACACATCAATGTCTGCACTGCTCTCCCCTTGTAGGTCAGTTAGTGGTGGTGGCATTGTCACCCCATTTTAGACAATGCTAACAAATTATGATAAGTAAGCCCAACCTAAGCGTAAAAAGCTTTTTTTTTATTTATTTATTTATTGTAATCTCTTTATTTAATTTTTCATGCTCTTATGCTTAAGGTTATTAAGTTAGGTAATTTAGAGAGATTATCAGTAAAAGGTAAATCAGCTGTTTAATGTCCTTTGTTCTAGTGGTCCTCTCTAAAAGGTTTATTAACAAATTGTTGGTACTTCTCTCCTCAACTATTATACGAGGACTCTTTGGAAATGGCTTCCAATGATGAAATCACGACAAGTTTTGCACTGTCGTTTCAATGTGCCTTCTGTTGTCTATTATTAATATGATTGTATAATGCACTTTGGTACCAAGAAATGCCGTTGTGTGTGTGTGTGTGTTTTTTTTTTTTTTAGAAATAGTAGGAAATAGGCCAATATGAAAAGTTTAAGAAAGTATATAGGCCATTTTTTAGTTATAGAAATTAATAGGCCATAACTTATCAAGTTATGGTTCATAACCAGATAAGTTATGGATAAACTTGTCAAGTTATGGTTCATAATCAGCTAAATTATGGATAGTAACTTGTTAAGTTATGGCTCATAACTAGACAAGTTATAGACGAAAATAGTAATTTGGCCTATTTATTAATTTATGTAAACTATTAGCCTATTAATTTTAATTCATCTCAAGTCTTGACCTATTTCCCTCTTTCATCTTTTTTATTTTTTATTTTTTATTTTTTTATTTTTATAATAAGTAATGCCATTGTTGGTTCTGTTCCATCTTGAAATAAACAAACACGAGCTCAAAATCTTTTGGGCTTCTAGGGTAAACTATTAGATTTCAAGAAAGTTATAAGAGTAATCATTGTTTTTCATCAATATATTATTTATGTCATTAAAAAATATTTTGATAAAATATGAAACGTATGATAATAGAATATGAAAAATATTCTAATAGAATATTAATAACATAAATGATAATTTTAAAATTAATGGCAGAAATAAAGTAGTATTATCTTTTTTATAGTATTCTTGAAAATTACTAGATTTCCGTTAATACTTTTCTTATTTTAATGTAATTTTGTTGTGATTTGATAGAATAAAACTGTACATCAGAGTGGAAAAAAAAATAGAACTACATATGACAATTTAAAAAGGTGTGATTTGATAGTTTAAAATTATATATGATTATTTAAAATTGTGTTTTACTCGTAGATTTTTTTTAATACTCTCTCACATAACTTAAGGTCCCGTTCATTTCGCTGATTCGAGTTTTGTTACAGTAAAAAACTCTCAGAAATAGTCATATTTAACTTTTTTGCTACAGTAAAAAGTTCTCACACAATCTCAACTCGAATTAAAAATTCAAATTAACAAACTGAATGGGCTTGATAAACTTTTTTTACCGCTCACAAACTAAACAAAATATTTCACTGAGTAAGAAATACATCTAAAGTACAATGACACAAAATTGGGCAATCTAATTGTTGCTTTCTGCATAGTTAGGTATGAAAATTATTTTTTAAGCAGAACAACAAAGAATCTGATCAACCAGTCAGCCTACATGGTTCGTAGCTCGTTACAGTACTTTTTGAAATTCTATGACAAACAAAACACTTAACTCAACTGATCTAATGGAAGCAACATGTGTTGCATGCGCCCACCAAATTTTTTCCGCGGCCGGCTGAGGCTCACCACTGATTACCGAAACACGATAAGTGCCTCTATCGTCCTTATAAAGTCGATTTGCAGATGAATGCGGCCTCATAAAAAGTTTTCAAATTAGAAGAAAGAAAATAAAGTAGACAATTGGAAGTGTAGTATTAGTTTTTACTTCGTAGGAAGCATGGAAATATCATGTAGCAAACTTGATTTTATTTTTTTTTTATTGGGAGGAAATTGGTTATTTGTGTTGTTTCAAATGTCAAATAAAATATATTTAGGTTAAAATATAAATAACAGAAAATGCAATAGACGCAAAAATTTTAGTTTTTGGCCTACCTCCGTGCAAGAATGACAAAAAAATTCCACTATAAACTAAAAGAGATTACACAAGTTTGACAAGTATTTCTCACCACCCAAATCTTGAATACACTCAAAATCTCTCAACTTAAAAGTAAGAACTCTAAAAGAAAATTAAAAAAAAAAAAACACACAACAAAAAAAAAACAAAGAGAAAATTACAAAATTTACTCTTAAAAATACATAGATCTAAATTTTTACCCTCATTTATTAGTATCGTTAGTTGATTAAAAAGATTATTAATTAAAAATAAAAAATAAAAATTCTGTGTGATATACTTTAAGGGTATTTGTCTCCTAGAGTTGTGTATCAATGAAAAAGCACTCTATGAGGTTCGAAAGATATGGGCACTAAAGGTTAGGCCAATAGAGATATGGGCCTTAGGCCTAAACAAAACCAAACTAATGAACTAATGGGCTTAATTTAAAGCCAGACCAATAATTTGTATCGTACTGAATAGACCTATTTCTTTTTTCCCTTACAATAATAATTAAGAAAAAATATAAAATTTATTCTTAAGAATACACGAGTCTAAATTTTTATTTTTTATTTTTGATAAATATTTTTTTATTAATATAATTATTTAATTAAAAAGATTATGAATTAAGAGTAAAAGGTAAATACACTTTCTAGAGATATTAGCCCTAAATAATAAACAAAAAAGAAACTGGTTTGTAATTGATACAAAATTGTTTTGTTAATCGATCAAATTGGTCCTTTTTGAATGAAAGCCCAAGTGATAGGAGAAAAGAACATAAAATAAATGACACTTCGGTCATTAATTAGACAAAATAGATCTAAAATAAATTTCCTGACCAGCAAATTATGGTTTATTCATTCTTTTTCATTTTTTTTTGCTCCGTAAGGTTTATTTATTAATAGCTTACGGATTCGACAGACCAAAGAATTGTCTACTTCTTTCTTTTGGCTGATGAAAGACCAAACAAGAAGTTTGTTATTTATCAGACAAACTTATATTTTTTTTTTCGGAATAGTAGAAAATAAACAATATGAAAAGTTTAAGAAAGTATATAGGTTAAATTTTAGTTATAGAAAATAATAAGTCATAACTTGTTAAGTTATGATTTATAACTAGATAAGTTATGGATAAACTTGTCAAGTTATGGTTCATAGTCAGACAAGTTATGGATAAAAATGTCAATAACTTATTAATTTATGGTTTATAACCAGACAAGTTATGAATAAAAACAGTAATTTGGTCTTTTATTAACTTATGTAAACTATTAACCTATTAATTTTAATTCATCTCAAATCTTGACCTATTTCCCTCTTTCTTTCTTTCTTTTTTTTTTTTTTTTTTTTTTCCCCTTTTTTTTTTTTTTTTTTTTTTTTTTTTTTTTTTTTTTTTTTTTAAGGAAAAGGAATCTAATTTTAACCATTAATGAAAACAAAAAGTTTAAGAAAGTATATAGGTCAAATTTTAGTTATAGAAATTAATAAGTCATAACTTGTTAAGTTATGATTTATAATCAGATAAGTTATGGACAAACTTGTCAAGTTATGGTTCATAGCCAGACAAGTTATGAATAAAAATAGACAATAACTTATTAAGTTATGGTTTATAACCAGACAAGTTATGGATAAAAACAGTAATTTGGTCTATTTATTAACTTATGTAAACTATTGACCTATTAATTTTAATTCATCTCAAATCTTGACCTATTTCCCTCTTTTTTTTTTTTTTATTTAAGGAAAAGGAATCTAATTTTAACCATTAATGAAAACAAAAAGGCCCAAATGCACCAAGCAACGATAGACAGAAGAAATACAGAGGGATTAACTATTTAATTAACCAACAGACAAATTCCACTAAAATAGTTTGTTAAAAATCCTCCCTGGACTAGCTGGATACAGAAGAACTGTTGTATGTGATTAGATATATACGAGCCTCTATTCCGCGCGTTCCTGTGGAATACAATATTTTATTATATGATAGATATATTTAAAATGTATTTATGTATATACATATATTATATAGTATTGTATTATATGATAGATATAAAATTTGTATGAACATATTTACACACACATGTATATAGTGTATATATATATATATATATTGTACAAAATAAAATACAATGCTATTGTGTTTCTTGAGCGCTTCATTTATTTCAGCTGCAAATATAAAAATGATCAATATGTTTGTAAATATAAGTGTTAAGAAAAATAAAGATGTTTAAATTCTATAATATGAAATAAATATTATAAAAATATTTATATTATCTTGTTTTTGGACGTTTTGCATATTTTCTTGTTATTCTTGATTCAGGGTTGTAAAAATGGAATTATTTTTATGTATGTATTTAAATTAGTTCATAATATAGATTATGTTAAATGTGACTTACCTTGTACCATATTTTTTTGGTGTCAGAGTGTGTGGATCAATTGTGGAAGGTGTTGATAGTTGTGCTATTGGTATTAGTTGTGGGCTGTAAAAGGAGAAGCTTTTTAAAAATGTGATCAACATAATATAAATCTTTTTTATGTATAGTTGAAAAAAGATAAATAAATATTATTTACCTTTGTGGATCTTCTGTTCCTGTAGTTAACTGTTTTGGTGGCGATGATGGAATATGGATGTCTTCAAATATTTTAGAAATTATTGTGCTCATTTAGGTGCCTCGTTGTTGAAAGAAGATTTGGAAGATTTTTAATTGGCCTCGGATCTAATCAATTGCTGGTGGTATTATAAATGGATCGGTAAAGCCTTCGTCAATTGTTAAGGCAGAACATGGTTTTTTTATTCATGCCTGAGCGGTTCTGCCAAAAGCGATAACTTCCATGTCTCTAGTGTGATCTTCAATTTGGATTATTAATCTATACCTGTAAAATATATATAAATATTTTTTTAATGTTATAAAGTATATTGTTAAATTAATAAAGGTATATAATAAATAAAAACGATTTGGTAATAAATTTATTTACCATGGAGATTACAACTACCCACACAAAAAAGCCAACTTAGAAGAAGAGAAAAATGAAGTGAAGAGATTAGCACTAAAATAGTCTAAAATTTTATAGAAAATACACTGACAATGTACATATAATTCGTCAATGAGAACTCCTAAAACAAAACAAATGAAGAGAAAAATAATTCTACAACAATCAGATTCGTTCTCTCATTCATTTTCTCTCATCTTTTGGTTTAGAAAAAAAAAGAGTGAAAGAAAGTAAACACCAAACAGAGAAAATAGAAGCTTACAGCGCGAAGTAGAGACATCCCGTCCGTTTCTCGGGCGTTCTTGATAGCCTGATAACAAAACCAACAAATCCCATCAAATTTTCAATTCAAAATCAAGCTTTTATATTCCTAATTTTAGAATTTAAAATAATAAAAAAATCTCCTCAAGCGTCTTTTGCTTAGTTTCTACTTCACTCAAATCCCTAAGAAAGTTAAGAAAAACACAATTGTTGAAACAAAAAATCAACATAAAGTAGAAACTTTTCAACACAATCTAACTTGTAATTTAAATAACATCAATATTTGTGAAGCAAACCTTTAATGAGGATAAACAAAGGGTTTACATAGTAGAAAAAAAAATTTACAAAAAATTCATCAAGCCAGACACCAAATCGACATTCAAAAAAAAAAAAAAACTCAATGGAGTACTTATAGATGCAGAGATGGTGAGCTCCAACCAGATCCGGTCTCAGCCAATGACGAAATCTGGAAACCCTAACGCGAACAAAACCACCAACACCGAGAGAACAGAAAGAGAGGAGAGACTCCGCCGCCGACAATCGCAGGAGAAACTAGCTGGAAACGGAGAGAGGGAGTCCGAGAGAACAGAGAGAGAGAAGAAAGAGAAACGGAGGGAGAGAACTTTGGCTGAGAGAGAGCATTAAAGGAGGCTTCAATTCGAGAGAGGAGAGGTAGTGAAGGAGCAGAAAGAAATGAGGCTGAGAGAAATTTTTTGATTCAGCAAGCTTCTTTTGCGAATAATGAAAATTTCATTAATAAAGCCTTGTAGATTGCCGCACAATCTACAATCAGCAACAAGTGTGCTACTTCTGATTCTCTCCCAAAATTCTTTTAGGATTCTTTGAGAATCAGTTTTTAAAGTGTTTACTAAACACAATAAACAGCTTTGGCTGAGTAAAAAATTGATTTTGGCCTCCCAAAATCTCTACCAAACTAAGCCAAAGAATGTCAATATATAAATAAAATTCATGTTACCTTCCATTGCATTTGAGGTGTTGAGGCTATGAGAATTTTTTGATGAACCAGAAGTGGGTTCATTGATATCCAAAGTAAAAACATCTTTAATAATTTCATCTACAGCTTCACGAATCGATTTGTTGTTTTCTACACATAACAAATAACTTATATGGTTAAGATAACATAGGCTAAAGCAGTAAATAAACAAGAAATAATAAATATACCTTTATCTCCAAATAGCCAATTCTTAGTACAAACCAATGCCTCAACCAATCCCTAGAAATAATAAATATATATTTTTAAGAGAAAATTTAAGAGAAAACCTTTTTCTCTTAAAAAAAATATAAACAGGCTTAATAAATGGACGGGCCGTGTCGTATCATGTCGGCCCAATAACGGCCGTATAACTAAACGGGTTAAGCGTATTAAACGGGCTTTGCACGAATCAAGCCAATTTATTTTTGTGTTATTCGTGCCAACCAATTAATAATCGTGCGGTCTAATCTCATTTATCTCGTATCGTTTTATCGTGTCGTGTCTGAAATTACCGGCCCTACCGCTGCATCAATCAACCTATTAGTATTATAAGATGATATCACACTAATAATTAGGAATAATTTTAAATTTGCACTACTCGACTTTTAATATGGGCTTCCATGAATTTCTCAAAGTGGATTGACACAACCAACTTTCAGAAACTTTGGAATGCCATTTTTTTTTTTTTGGGAGAAAAAGGAAAATAGGCTAATGTTTGAGATAAATTAAAATTAATAGGCCAATAGTTTACATAAGTTAATAAATAGGCCAAATTACTGTTTTCGTCCATAACTTGTTTGGTTATGAACCATAACTTGACAAGTTTGTCCATAACTTATCTGGTTATGAACCATAACTTGACAAATTTGTCCATAACTTATCTGATTATGAACCATAACTTGACAAGTTATGACCTATTAATTTTTATAACTAAAAAATAGCCTATATACTTTCTTAAGCTTTTCATATTAGCTTATTTCCTACTATTTTCCTTTTTTTTTTTTTACTGAAATTTTGAATGCCAATTATCCAAAAGCCATTATTTTTTTTTAATAAAATAAGCCATTGTTAGGATCTAATATTCTAATTAAAGCATATTCGTTGGTAACATGTGCCACGTGTACAAAATAATTGCCTTTTTCAATAAACACCTATAAATATTGAAAGATGAACAAGAACAACCTTAAAGTCAAAAGGCTCAAAGAGAAACTGCTGACCTTAACAAACACCATGGCTGTCAATCACTGTAAGCTCCGAAATCCGATATTTTCGATCCTTTCTATGAATTCTATTTCCATTAATTATCCATTTTCTCTAATAGGTTTCTTGACAATTTTCATTTTTTTTTTGTTTTTTTTAAACTGTTGTTCTTTATTGATTTTGAGTTTCCACAGGCATTTTTCCGTTGGTGTTTCTCTTGCTGGTTGTTGGGTCTTTCGGAAGGCCTTTATACCCACTTCCCAGTAAATATAAATATAATCGTGGAAGTAAACAGCCTTTACAAACTTCTCGTCCGTACAATATTGCCCATCGGGGTTCTAATGGAGAAATTCCTGAAGAAACTACACCTGCATACATGGTAATTATTTATTTATTTATTATCGTAATGTTTTTCATTTATATATAATCCCGTTCATGACTTTTTTTTATTATTATTTTGGGGTGAATAGGAAAATGCTTGGTTTAAATTTGTCAAATTTAGGAACCAATGATTCATTTTATTCATGTTGGTTGAGTATAAAGAATTTGGCAATATATATATATATATATATATATATATATAATCCGTGTTTTATCAAAATGCTGTGTTCCACCTATGTTTTTAGAAATATTTCAGCGAACCCTTAAGTTTTATAAATTGTGTTAGAAATCTCTCTTACGTTTTAAAAATCGTGTTAAAAACAGCCCCCTCTGGGGGGTGACAAATCGTGTTAAAAGCCTCTCTTCTCAGGAGGTTTTTCGCACGATTTGTAAAACATAAGGGAATATTCAGAATATATGATGGGGTACAACATTTCAATTGAACACTTGGGAGGTTTTATAATGAGCCTGTTTGGGTGAATAGAGTACTTCTGTTGGTTGAATCATGATTCAGACTTACACAAGATGACAAGGTTGTTGGGACTAAAAAGTTCAAATTTTCATTTCAAGACATGGCAATTGTTAGCTTATTAGCTATTTGGACAATAATGTGAACATATTTGTGTTGCAGAGAGCTATTGAAGAGGGAACAGACTTTATTGAAACAGATATCTTATCTTCCAAAGATGGAGTCCTCATATGCTTCCACGATGTGATACTCGATCTTACTACCGATGTTGCGGAACACAAGCAATTCGCTAACCGTAAAAGGACTTATGAGGTTCAAGGGTTCAATGTCACTGGCTTTTTCACCGGTATACAAGCCCTTCTTATATAGTTAGTACTCTTTTTATTTGTGGTGCCGTAAAATTTTGTAGTGCTAATGGCGGTTTGCATGAAAACGCAGCAAATTTGCAATTTGTATTATTGTGCCCCAATATAATTATTGCCATTTATTCCCTTCCTCAATTATCAAAATAATTAAAATGAAGAGTTTGAATGTCGTTTGATTTGTGGACAGTTGATTTCACTCTAAAGGAACTGAAGTCATTGCGCGTGAAGCAGAGGTATTCTTTCCGTGATCAACAATATAATGGTTAGTTCCTTGCTTGGGCAAAGAAATTTATCTCTCTCTCTCTCCTTTTTTTTTTTTTTTTTTTGCCCTATGTAACTTATTTTTGGTTTGTGGCAAACTAGATACAGTTACATGTTAAAAAGAGAGCAATCTGTAATTCATTGTTTAAAATCAACATGAATATCTATGAACTGAGTCAAATCATAGATCATTGTATAGAAGAATGCTATTAATGTGTTATGATCTGCTAAATATGTTTGATGCGCCCGTTATAGATACTACTGAAGTTAGCAAGTGACTAGATTAGGTTATAATTAGAAATTATAACTGTTCTTTTTGGTTTGCTGTTCAGGAAAGTTTTCTATTATTACTTTTGAAGGATTCATCGAAATTGCCCTGGATGCACCCAGAGTTGTTGGAATATATCCAGAGATAAAAAATCCAGTTTTTATCAACCAGCATGTAAGTATACGGAAAACTGTTATAAAAAAATGGTTTTGCAGAATCTAATTGGATTAAGGGTAGTATCTAAGTCACGTAAAGTATTTTTGTTTTTCCACAGTTTGCGTTAAAAGGAAAGGACCTGTTTTGCCATATTTAAATAACACTGAGTTAGTTACCAAAAGTGCCACGTGGAATGATTATAAGATAATTAGTGGATTCATAAACACTTGGGTCCCCTCCCCTCGCAAGCCAAGTTTTGTAAGGGTGTGTTCTACATAATGGATTAGGAATAATTGGTATTGGAGCAAGTCCACCATGCTGTGGGTTCGGGTCAAAGCGGTTGCATTATAAACTAGATTAAAATGCATTGATGAAACCATCAAAGCAACAAATGCTGATAGTCGAGTGAAGCTTCTAAAGAGGAAAGGGCTATCACCTGATCAATGTCAGTATGTAGTCCACCATTGATTTGGCACAAGCGTGGTGGATTCTTACATATTGCCATGTCATGTGTGGTATCGGATGTGGTATGGGCTATGGTTCTGTGATTGTCTCTACGAATAGGGCGACCCCGGGAGAGTGCTAAATTTCTACTCGATAGAAGGCACAATCCGTGAAGTCGCCTAATTGAGAAGATGGGCTGTCATGGACGGCAGTTGCAGAATGTGGTCGAATATTAGATACCAAAAGTCCCACATGGAATGATTACAATATAATTAATGGGTTTATAAGCCCTTGGGTCCCCTCCCCTTTCAAGTCGGTTTTGCAAGGGTGAGTTCTACCTAATAGGTTCCTAACACACTGATGACTCTAATTAGTAATTGCCTTCAAACCCTTCACTGCATTAGAAATCTTATACGTTACTGTTTCTTGTAGTGAATCATTGGAGCTATAACACTTCTTGCAGTAAGTTTCACATTTACCAGAAGTAAACCTTAAAACATGACTGAGCTACTGATTAATGGCTATAAATTTCATCTCATACAGCTGAAAGTTGCACTTAGTCAACATTTCTACTTCCTTTAATAATTTTTTTAATGGATAATGACAGGTGAAGTGGCCACATGGTAAGAAATTTGAGGACATCTTTGTGGAGACACTCCAAAAGTATGGATACAAGGGTTCATATATGTCAAAAGATTGGTTGAAACAACCTGCATTTATCCAGTCATTTGCTCCGACTTCACTTTTACACATATCAAATCTCACAGACTTGCCCAAGATCTTATTAATTGATGATATTACTATGCCGACTCAAGACACTAATCAGGTTTGTTTGCTTCCCCTTTCAACATTTTGAGTCTCTCTTTGACCAAGCAATCAATTCATTTATGACCCTTGTGAATTTGACGTGCTTAATGATTGTCAGATGATATTTTCCTACCATCATGTCAAGATTTGATAATTGAAAAGTTTATATAGATTATAGTATTATGTGGATCATGACAATACAATACACATGCCATTGGCTCCTATCCATTCTTTGATGGATTTGTTTATCTTCTTTTCCCCAGTTTTTCATAATCAATCTCATTCCAGTTGTAATCTTTAATTAGTTTTCACATTTGCCTAGAAATAATTTCTTAATCTGGTTGTCTCTCTGTACAGAGATGTGAAATAGTAGTTGCATGAGGTATAAAAATAATAGTCACCTTTTGATGAGAAAAGCAAAAAACTATAGATCTATGAATCTGCAACAGCATTAATTTATTAACCGCGTATTCTAGAGTGTTCTTACCTTCTAATTGAAATCTATTGAAAGATAGTTCTATATGATAAAGTGTTTTTCCTTCAAACATTTAACCTATCCTATGGTTTGAACCATGGACTTCCTTTCAGAACTCAACCCACTTTTACCATAGTTTCTTGCTTATTACCTTAGATTGTCGAGTCATGTGGAGCCTAATTACTTTATACTTTTTCCGCCAACTGTGATTCAGCCTAGTTAGACTTTTAGGGCATCCATTTTCTGTAGACAGAAACAAAGGGACGGAGAGAGGCATTGAGTGGATTGCACCTTGTTCCTCTTCCTCTAATCATAGTGATATTCTATGTAGTACCAAGTGGACATAACGTGAGAGTGAACCATAATAAATTGTGTTTGTGCTCTGTTTATTTATGTACGTCTTTTTGTCATATTCTTCATTCGTACTTTTACCGTTAGGAAGTGTATGCTTGTCTTGTTTATGCATATTCTTTCCTTTTAGCTTCTCTACTTCTATATTCCTCACTGTATAACATGAAATCAATGATGTGCAGTCATATTGGGAAATCACCTCCGATAGTTACTTTGACTACATCAAAGATTATGTGGTGGGGATTGGGCCTTGGAAGGATACAGTGGTTCCTGTGGTAAATAATTATTTGCAAGTACCTACCGATCTGGTGGCTAGAGCGCATGCTCATAACCTACAGGTACACGTCTCTATCTAATGTTTTGCGTTATGTATTAAAATCGTGTTTGAGTCCATTTTCTTTAACCATATTCATTGTTATGTTGTTTAGTCTGAATGCCACATCGTACTAATTTAAACCATTTTAGCTGTGACTCATAAGTCACAAGAAAAATGCTCAAAAACATTTAAATGTAATGAAAAGAACTAGCCTGTTTTTGGACAAATCCTTTTTTTTTTCTAAGAGGTTTCAGTTAGAGATAAGAGAAACAATTCTAAGTACATTACTTCTTAGAGCCAATGCTACTTTAATGCCTCTCTAATCATTGAGTATTGAGCTTTTAACTCTAATAATGGAGACAACCTGAACCCCTTATCAACTGACTAGTTGCAGTGATTCCAAATTTGTAATGATTTGTTGGGTTAAGGACTATGAATGGATAGAAATTGTAGATTATAGTTTTGGTTTTTGAAATCCAATAAGATTTTAGATATCAACACTTGAAACACTTTTTGTTTGTAATCTTGTACTATGAGAAATGATGAGTTTGCTGCTCCAATTGCACGGAGGGCTTTTCTAAAGTTTTGTGATCAGATACCACTTTCTTCAACCAGATTTTGTTTCATGTTGCACATCTTCCATACTCTTTTTGCTGCGTAACACATAACTCAAATTCGATACCTCAGTGTGTTTTTTGCTTAACAAGTCGCCAATGCCAAGAGGATCTAAATTGCAACTTAACATGGTGAATCACAGGTGCATCCATACACGTTTAGAAATGAGAACCAGTTCTTGCACTTGGACTTTCACCAAGACCCGTATGCAGAGTTTGATTTCTGGATTAACCAGATAGGAATTGATGGACTCTTTACAGACTTCACAGGCTGCCTTCACAATTTCCAGGAGTTTACATCCTATAAAGGTGGTGATGATCGGAGTGCATCTAAATTATTGCATGAAATTGCAAAGTTGGTTTTTTCCTATAAGAAAGTATGACATCTTGTGGATCGAATTTTCCTTTTATTGTCAATGCACATTTCTATGGACAACCTTATTGAGATTGTTTTGACTACTTTTTAAAAACTTAAAAATTGTCTAGTAAAATAGTGAAACAAATATCTGTAAAGATCATGCTTGCAATTAGGCCTTGCATTTATCCATGCTCAAAACTTACTCATCTCATTTTTTTCAAAAGCAAAGCATATAGTAATTGTCCTCAATTCCCCATTAATCCAGCATTTAATCTTTCCTTACCTACTAATTTGTGAATGCTTGACACTTTCCTCTTGCTCTTGAATCGCTATTTGTTGATGCTTCAAGGTAATGGGCTAACGCAAACAGGCTATTGGAGTTAAAACAACATTGTGCTTAACTCTACAATATTATATATTTGCTAATACAAGTTTGAAGAGTTGAATTTAGAAGTCTTTCTAAGTCAAATCTCAATCAAATTGGTAAATGCCATTAACTGGCAACTGGAAATTCCCAAAAGCAGAAAGCTATATGCAATAAAGTGACAATTAAAAGATGAGAAATAATAACATTACTCTTTCTATCACTCTCTCTGTCACTCATTGCATTCATAGTTTAACTCATCAACTCTATTATCTCATTTTCTGTTAAAATAATAACATATCATGATAGATGCACGTCTCTCAATAGATTAAAAACCTATTGTGCTCACCATCTGAATGTTTTATCCTTCCTCATGAACTCAAGTAGTTGTCTACTTCAGTGGGGCAATTTTTCTGTTTGTTTGCTACTTGCTACGTGGTATTTGATTAACAGAGACAATAACATCAATTTCTTAGAATCCAACAATAGGAAATTGGCTACTCATTTACAAATCAAATAAACATAGATCATGCAGAATTTGCCTGTAAATTAACTCCACTCCTAGATGCAAAAAACACTAATCGACTACTGATCTGAAGATTAGATATTACCAACCCCTTACAATAAAATAGATTCTAGACTAAGCAAAAAACCCTAACCAGAAGTATATTAGCCAGACAATATCCTCTTCATTAGTTAATTTGACAGTAAGAATCAGGAAGCTTTCATCTTTGATATCTCCTCTAGCAAGAATTTTGATTCAGCAGCAAAATCAACCGGAGCAACAGCCCTGACTGTTAGTCTTTGCCTCTTCTCATTGTTGTACTCGTTCTGCGAAACACTAATTCGGAAAAGATGAGGAACCCAAGTTGCTTCTTTCAATTTCATTTCGTACGAGTTCTCCTCTCCCAACTGAAAACATAAAAATAAAAGAAAATTGAATGTCAGTTTTTCCCACTTTCACAAGTTTAGAATGTAATTCATATGGTTCTAGTGACTATATATATAAATACCTGTGATCTTAGTTTATCAAGCTCATCTGCTGAGCACCCAATAATACTCTCCGCTTCTTCATTGAAGGCAGAGATATAAGCTTCACCACTTGCATCTGACACTCTTACGACAAGTATATATCTGAAGGAAATATTTATAAAAGATATTAGAAAGGCATTGGATTCACTACAAAGCTTGAGAAACAACATGGTGAGTATTGCAGGTTTGGAAGTTATACCTTAAACTGCACTCTTCATCATTCTTCTGGCAACCCTCGCACCAGTAACCAGATCCAATAGCCTCTGTGACTTTCTTGTTGCAAGTTTTGCAAGCCCGATACCACATTGTCTGATCAGGCTTGATAGAACTTATATATCCTCTGATGCTGAAAAACGCAGGCTGCAAAACATACATGGACATATCATTACACATCACGAGTAAATGACGTCATCTTAAGCCTAAGAAAATATCCTTTTGGAGCTAAAAGCTGATGCTATTTATACCTTGTCTTCACCTAAGGATGGGTTATCGGTTATATGGGACAAGAAAACTCTGTCAGAGTACATGGACCTTCCTCCACTCCTTGTTGATGGGCTCATACCAGTACCAACAGAGGCCATTGGCGAACCTTTACCTTCAGAATCATACCTGCAAAAATAAAGGATCACAAAACTTACATGAGGACATGAAGTGGGAAACAAAAAGGGTTTAGTGAGTTAGATTATATGTTGCTGATAATAGCTTACCAAGATTTCAACTTGTTAGCTTCAGGTGTGTCTGGATTTACCACAACCATGCTCCTACTTAGTGCTGATAAAGACAAACCTGCAACAAGGAGTAGAAAATACATAGTAAGAGTTAGGATCTTTAACCACAATTACTTTTTTTCAAGTGTGTAAATCAAACTACTTTTATCTTATTACAACTTTTAGGTACCTTGAAAATCTCCAACTTTAACGGACTTAATAGCAACCACAGGAGATTGGTCAGCGATATCCAGCAATTCCTGGCCTACATTTGTTGCAAGATCATTCCACAGCGAAACCACAACTGTCTTTTTGCTGCAATTCAAATTACCATAGTGTAAAATTACATGATAAATATCACATGCAATGGCAAAATAGATAGGGAATGAACTTACCTTTCATCAGCAATTGTTATATCACGCTTTGGAATATTTTCATTATTGCTCTTTCTTCTAATGCTCATAGTGGGAGATACACTTTGAACGACTCCTATAACATCTGAAAGTGTATCAACCAAAAATAAGGTTAGCAGAATGAACAAATTTTTAATAGAAAAAGGTTCCAAGAGAGGCTCCTTACCAACAAGTTCCTTCCCATTAACATAGGGACCCAACATCTCAATTGGGACGAAATTGAATTTTGTTTCAGGAACAAAAGCTGCTTCATTGCTTGCTTCTTCCACTTCAGAATTCTCATTCAAAGTCATCTCATAATCATTTTGCACTGTCTTAAACTGTTTGTTGGCAACTTTTAGAGTTCCCTTTGAGATATAGTAAACCTTCCCCAATTGAAATTTGTCATAGAACTTCCTTGCAGCTTCGTTAAACATTGTTGCTTGAATTTGGGTCCCCTGTACCAAATTTACAACAAAATTCATAATCAAACTCCCAACACATATGGACATCTTTAAATGCTAACAAAAAAAATGGGTTCATGGCTTACATCTTCATCAGTCAGCTCCACATTAAAGACACAACCTTCACCTCTAGCATTTCTGTATGTACGCATGGTTCCCTTATTTGTAACACGAACCTTTATCATCCAACTTCCTTGATAAGGGTTCAAAGAAACAAGAGGATGCACTCTGCGAGTCATCGCCATCCGTGCTGGTGGCACCATACTGAAATTCACAACAAAAGAAACAGGTCAGCTCACATGAATTTAAACATAAAAAATGAAGCGGAAAAGACATTAATAATCATCATCAATAATTATGGCAAAAAAGGACTCACTTTCCATGCTGCTCATGAATAATTTGAGCAGCTGATTTAGTGACCATTTCTTGCTTTGGCTTCAACATGATCCCGTTTCCAGAGCTCTCTCTTTTCACCTCACTATTGATCTCAATCTCTTGCTTTGGCTTCAATAAAATGCCAGTTTCCTCACTTTTGACCCCACTCTTAAACTCCATTTCAAGCGCAGGGGAAACCGTTTCACACTTTGTCACAATTAAATATCTGAACAGAATAAAACAATCAGCAGAACAAAATTACACCTATGAAGAAAGATCAACATTGATAGGAGATACTTTGAAAGCAAATTGGATTCAGATCTTACTTCTCTGACTTGCTTGGAATGTCATTGAGGGAATAATCAAGGATGCGAATAAGACCCAGATTCTGAATCTCTCCTGAGATAACCTGAGGAGTCAGTTGTGATGGGAGAATTGCTTTTAGCTTCTTCTTCCCATCATTAGCAGTAAACCTAGAAGAAAGTTCAAACCAGAAAATTAGATTTTATTTCAACTTTTATCGTACTTAATTAGATCATCAAAACATGAATCTCTCAATATTGAAAGCTCGGAATACTGTAAACATGAAATTTACTATTCGGAACTCTTCAGTGGAAATTTGTTTCAAAACAAGTAGGAACCAAAATCAATTACGCAATGGATCTGAATCACAAATATCGAAGAACCAAATCCGCTCAACTAGCGTTGTTTATTTGCAAACCCATTAAGACTCCAGAAAAAATTGACCAAAATTCCCATTTGAAATACACGAAACCTTAACCACAAAAAGGAAAAGTACTCCAGTAGAACAAAGCATAACAGTAAGATTGAAGCAAAAATCTGAAGATTCTAAGTGAATCAGTAAAAGAAGATCCAAAAAACCGTAAGATTTGTAGCAGAAGACTCACATGTAGCGGCTACTACCCTTCGGGGTGAGATCGAGGATCTGGACAACGATCTCCGGCATGTCGGCGGTGGTGTCCGGCGAGGGGTTCGCCATTATGGTGGAGATCGCGTCTGGGCTCGGAGCTTTCATCGTCATCTTCTTCTGTGGATTCTGTTTGTTTGGAAGGAAAGAAAGAAAGAGAAAATGAGAAGTAACGTGAGTGAGAAATGGATTGGGAGTTGTGAAATGAAATGGGATTTTGTATTCGTCGGCTTGGCGGGATCTTTGCGCTCCTTCGAATTGTTTTAATGTTTTCCCGCAAAATTCAAAGATTTTGGGAATCGAAAATTTAACATTTTTACAATTTTTTTAATTTGTTAATTAATTATTATTGTTTTAACTTTTGGCGGCAAAGTATTTATTTGGTTCTTTATTTCAAACCTGTTTGCGGCAAACATTGACAGGATGGCGCCAAAATGTGCTTTTCTGTGGGTTTATCCGTTTATGGCCTTTGCCGCGGTTTCTTTTAGCCCAAAATTGTGCGACTTTTTTGCTCCAAAAAAAAGAAAAAAAAATGTTTGCGACTTTTTTTTTTATTTCTATTTTTTCAATTTTCACTAATAGCTTAAAATTTATTTTCGCCTTCAACATCCTCTTTTTAAAGTTTTTACACCCTAATATTTCTGAAAATACACAATTTTAACTATTTGGTTGCTTTTAGCATTTTTTGAGAAGTTATAACAAATCTTTGGTAAATCCTGTTTTTATTTAGTAGATTATATATATAAATTACTAAACAACATAACTTGAATAGCATATCCGGATTGCTTTTATACAACCGCTTTTAATGTCATTTTTCAAATTTATTAAAATAACCTTAAAATTTTATTTTTTAAATATTAATTTAAAAATTGAAAATCTTTAATTAACATACTATGCTAAACTTTAATCAATTTTTTTCTATAATTATCAAAATTTTAAAAATAATAACAAAAAACAAGAAATTAGTCATTTATTTTTAGAAATATTTTAAACAATAAACTAAAATTATATGTTTTTTTACTAATTTGGTGTAAAAATACTATCAATATTAACCTTAAAAACAAAAAATAAACTATGCATGTTAAAATATATGTATTTTAATAATATATATCTTCATAATAATTTATGTACAATTTACCAAACACATAAATTTCTATTTCTCATATTCATCAACATTATAGGGTGTAGCGGGTTGCATAATTTAGACAAATTTGTAGCAAACAAATAACTTGCCACATTTGTTTATATAATTTACTTTAACACTGTTACAGTAAATAATTGTAGTTAATGGTATGATTTAATAAAGTTTAAATTAAATAGTTGTGAGTTTACTAGGTATATTATTTTTTTACTTATAGCAAATAGATTATTTAATTAATAATTTTTTTGTTGACATAGTTAATTCGTTTTTACTCAATTATTTTTAAAACATATTATTACTTACTTTAATTTTATAAAAATACAATTTACCATAATTTCTGAAATTTGATGAAATTTATTTAAATTTATGTGAGAGAAAAAACCGTAATTGAACAAATAAAGAGTTAATTCCATATATGCTCATTATTCAGGGGATGAAAAACATAATATCTATAAGTTATGATATTTACACATAAGTCTGTAAAGTAATTTATAATGATATATTCTTTACCTTTGGTTAACCAATTATACAAATTCACAAATACTAAATCAAAAAACTGGAAAAAATTGGTGAATTCATTTTTTAAATGTATTTTTGTAAGAGTTTATTCTTTACATTTAACTAATACCTTTTTATTAATATAATTCTTTAACTAAAGGTATTCATGAGTGTAAAAGGTAGAAATTTAAAACTCATCGCTATTTGTCGCTTTTTCCTACAAATCATACAGATTAATTACACGAAGAAATCCAACTGGGCCGAGTCCAAATGTCATATTGGGCCGAACAAAGATGGACAAACCAATTGGGCCACTCCCATAACGGTGGCCCATCCTTCAACGACACCATTTACCAACTTCCAAGCGTACTACCGTTTAACGACATTGGACGACGCGTGGTGGCGGTGACCGGAGAAGAGAGAATTGTTCACTACACACTACAAAGGAATTGGACACTCCAACGCTTCCTCGTGTTGTTCGCAGGTTGTCCGGGACTCTGGTATGCTAATGCTTCGACCCAAATTCCAAATCCCTATTTAAGTTTCTTCCAATTTTTTCGCAATCTTTATCGACAATAAAAAGTTTTGTTTTCTATATCATTTTGCTCCGACCGGAGCTAATCACAAAGTGATTTTTGCTATAACCGCTGGATATGATCGTATTTTTCGGCAATTTATCATCTGCGTGAATACTACTACTGTTGGATTTTTCTTTTTTTTTTTCTGAGAAAAAATATGCAGCTCTTGATCGATTTCAGCTAGGTTATACACACACACACATATGTGTGTGTGTGTGTGTGTGTATTCGCATGTATATGTGTGTGTGTGTGTGTGTATTCGCATGTATATATGTATGTATTCAGTTCGTAGATGCTCATACTTTGAGAAGAAAGCCCAATTCCTCCCCACTAGAAAAGGTCGTTTTTTTGTGAACTTTCCATAGTTTTCTCTGTTATTGTGAACTCAATTTTCTTCCAGGGTTTTAATTTTATATCATAAAAAAATATAGAAATTATGAGAAAAAAAATCCTAATTTGAAAATTTGATGGACGAAATTTGCTGAATATGTCATGATCCGTATCCCTTTTTTTTCCCCAATTATTTGGTTCTGTTTAGGAAATGGAGGAAAAACTATTTGAAACCCTGGTAGAAAGGCATAGAGTAAAAAAAAAAAAAAACCTGGCATTTTAATTAGGGTTACACATTCAAGGGGTTTATTTGTAATTGGCATAAACTGAAGAGACTGGAACTTCTTAACTGATGTTTTTAGGAACTTTAAGGGGGAACAGAAATGTCGAGGTTCCGAGCGCTATGGCAAGCTTCCTTAAACGCGACAAAGAAAGGTGCCATTACTTATATGTGTGTGTTTGTCATTTTTCCTTTTGTGATGATGTTGAAATAGAACTTGCTATGTCCCTTAAGCTTCTGCTATGATGTTGCCATGATCTATTTGATATTGACATTGTGGTGTATTGCCTTGAGTAGTATAGTAATAAAGCTTTTAAGGATTGATACGAGGGTTATGTATTTATGGGCTGCTCGGGAAATGAACTCTGGGCCAAACTGAAATGTGGGGTTGCTATATGGCTGTATGAGGACAAAGTTTTTTTGAAATTTTCGATATGTCAGATTTGGTTAGGGAGTGGAATCATCTTATGTAGTTGTCTTTTTTTTTTTTTTTTCCCCTTTTGTTTAAGTTGGCAGACATCCCATGCTCTTTTTTGTGGTTCCATTTTCAATGAAATTTTGTTTCTTTTCGAAAAAAAAAAGAGGTTTATGTATTAGTTTATGGAAAATAGACAAGGGATTTGTTGTTTCTTTTTCCTTCTGTATTTTGCACTTATACTTGTCTGTTCCTTAAGCTCTTTCATTTCTGATCTCAAACTGTAGCTCTGACATGGAATGTTGAGGATCTGGTGCTTCCAACTGAGAGATATATTTTCAATTTCAACTCAAACGAAGAGCTGAAAAAGTGGCATTTGTATTCCGATTCAGAATATGGAGGTATGCAAGTAGTTGCTCTCTCGCTTTTCAATCCAAACGCTGTAAAGTTAACACCTGTTTAGAATTATTACGTAGGATATGACTATCGCTTTGTATGAATGAAACTTTGGCATGCAATCTTTTCCCCTCTACTATATAGATAATATGCAGTATGCATACAAGTTTTTGTTGCGTCAGTTTATTAGAGCCCGTGAACTTCTTGTCTGCAACATTGATTCTGGATAATTAAAGTTGATATAGTGATTTTTACCATGTCAGCAATCAAATATGCAGATTCTAATAGGAGGCGCCACATTTGTAAACATTGCAGGGTTGTCTTCAGCATCTTTGGAGATCACAGATGCTGGAAAGGGACTAAGTGGTACTGAATAAAAATATAGTTCAATTATTTTTTAGCCCTAATTAATTTTAGTTTTAATTTGGCTTTACAGAGTTGTTATAGCAAGTAATTTTCTTTTTTCTTTTCCAATTTTATATGCATTGTCATCTGATGTGACTACGAAACTACACTTTGTGTTCAAAACATCAAATATCTCACACAGGATTATATAATTTCCATTCTCAGTATCAATTTTTATTTCTGTAGGAGTTTTCTCTGGCACCCTTTCGCTCGATATTGCAGAGGGTTCAAAATGGAACATGACTCGGGGTGGCTTCTGTGGAATGAGGTCAAAGAAGGTGAAGTTATTTTGAAAATATTTATGGTTATATTCTAATAGGTTATAAGTCAGGACCGATTGAGAAAAGTTCCTTGTGTGGTGCTTTGGATTTTTATTTTCACTGTTGTTCATATATGGCATCTGCACATTGAAAAATGAACTGGTTGTGGTAACTGCTCAGCAACATTGGGGTAGATTAGCCGGATCATTTTAATGATAATTGCATGATTAATGTTGTTTGGTTATGTGCTTTACACTATTTGTTGACCTTTAAGGCCCTTAATGACTAATGGTGTTTTTTGCTCACAGGAACTTTTTTTTTTTGGTTCTTTTCTTTCCTTTTTTTTTTTTTTTTTTTTTTGAGAAGTCGAGAACAATTTTTAGAAGGCTCGATTTCCTTTATGTGTTTGTTTCCTTGACAGTTTGATGGCTTCATTGATTTTTCATTGATTTGCAACATTGGGGTAGATTAGCCGGATCATTTTAGTGATAATTGCATGATTAATGTTGTTTGGTTATGTGCTTTACACTATTTGTTGACCTTTAAGGCCCTTAATGACTAATCGTGTTTTTTGCTCATCAGGAACTTTTTTTTTTGGTTCTTTTCTTTTCTTTTTTTTGTTTTTTTGTTTTTTCTGAGAAGTCGAGAACAATTTTTAGAAGGCTCGATTTCCTTTATGTGTTTGTTTCCTTGACAGTTTGATGGCTTCATTGATTTGGAACCATTCGATACAATAGCACTGAAGATAAAAGGAGATGGAAGATCTTATATATCTACTGTGAGTATTCCATTTACGCAATGGAAAAGGTTTTGAAATTGAAGTCTTCTGTTTATTATTTAAGGGAACCTTCTGTTTCAGTTTTTCCATTGCATTTTCCCAATGATTTTAAATAATGTCGGACTTGCTTATGCAGATCTATACGGAAAATTGGGTTAATTCACCCGGCCAACCAGAGGATAATTCGTGGCAAGCTTTTGTATTTGTACCCAAAGACAACTGGTATATCACAAAGGTAAGTTCCGTTACCTCAAAGCTTAGATTGGCTCTAATAAAGCAGAAGTTTCTGCAAATGAAAACTAATTTGACAAATATTGTTCCAACTGGTTTTTCCCTTTACCAACATGAAGTTCAACAAATAGTTTGCAATTCATTTTTCTCCTGTACTTCACTCCTACACACCACCTAATAAATTATCTCAATTCAATGCTACGGAAACTTTAAGGCTTTCTTGTGCATTTGTTGTGCCACACACTTTTTTTTTTTTTTGGAACTTGGGGTTGGAGAGAATTGAACTTTACTAAGTTTGGTAGAGTCAGGTGTGGAATTATTGTTATGCAACCACGTTATGCCACTCTTTTGTTATAAACTAAATGTTAGCACATGATAGCTCGTGTTTTTACATATTTTTTCAAATGACCTTTTAGATTCCTTTGGCTCAATATCTACCAACGTGGAGAGGGAATGTTATAGATGCAAAGCTGGAAATGAATCCTTCTCGGGTTCTTGGAATGTCTTTGTCAGTGAATGCAGAAGGTGGAGTCCCCGGTGCCAGGTCCGGGCCAGGTGATTTCAAAATTGAGATTGATTGGATCAAGGCCTTGAGGACACAATGACTTGTAGGCTCTAGCCAATTCTGAAGAGTTGAAACTTGGTTGTATTAAAACCTTGATTTTTATGTCATAAATTCTTTGTTGTGTTCCCTTTTTCACCTACCACCAGATGGAAAATGTTGAGATGCTCTGAGCCGTTGAGCGATTTTGAGAGGGAAACTTAAGGGACAAGCTTTTCGGCAGCTTGAAGAATACACATCTAAAATCATGTCTGAAGTTTGAATATTGGAGAAGAATAAACCCTTGTGTCAACCTTTTACATGAGCAACATATGCCTCCTCCCACGAAATATTTTTTCGATCTCATCTTTTGGCATCAGGACATCAGAGTTTTGATTCATGTTTGTTTTTTTTAGTTATTGGAATACCAAAAATTTAATCCTAGCTAACACTCATTACACTTTTGTTCAGTTATGTTCTTTGATTTAGTAGATACAGTCATTGAACAATGACTAAAAAGGAAAAACATTTTTTACTTCACACACAGAATTGGCCATTTTCTTTGTGATTGATCTCACTGTTATCATTTGTAATGCGTTCCATTTATCAGTATTGGTTCATGTACAGCTCTAGGAAGTAAGAAAAAAAAAAGGAAGGGAATATTTTGATCTCAATACATAGTTTCATGTTGCATTTTTAATGAGAAGTGACAATAAAACTACAAGCTAAATATTTGCAAGAATATATGTAATTTTGGTATCTGAGACTATGCTACTATCCTTCCTACACACATCTCCTACGAATTCGAAGACAATGATTCGTATTCCTCTTAAGAGAATCACCTCAGAAACACGATGGGCGACAACAAGTGAAGCAAGAATAATAAGATAACCATTTGCTCAAACCGGCTACTCGGTTTGCTCTAGGAGGGCTATCGGCTGCAACAAGGGTCGCTTTAGGCGTCACTGCCCGCGGTTGTTGCACTTGCTTTGCTCCTACCTTCCCTGATGTGTCTTTGTCTCCATCCCCTGTCAATCTTCATATAACAAGGGAAAAAAAAAAAAAAAAAAAAAAAAAAACTTATTTATCTAGCTCAAAATGTTGATAATGATAATAGGCATAAGAGTTTGCAAGTCAAATTGATCAAAGTATGTGTCTGCATTGTCTTTTATATGCCATGGTTAATTATGCACTTTGCTATGTCACTAATCTTTGTGGTACTATGCTACAATTTTGGATATGTGAGAACGAAAATGGATGGATTGAGAGGACACGAAAACAAGTCTATAATTACTAAACAATTTGAGCTAGTCAGAATAAAATAAGTTGATGAATGAGAAAGGAAAAACCAAGTCCAAAATTTTGAATAGTTAATGTTGTATGATTTTGACCTAAGGCAGAACATTCAAGCGTATATCAGAACTGAGGTATCAAAACTCTTACAACGGAAACGCAAAAGATTTTGTTTTCTCATCAGGCTGGCGAGAAATCTTAGACGAAGCATGCGTGTCCTTGGAGGGACGTGCATCCTCTTTGCACCTATTTTCTGCACTTTCCCTTATTACTTCTCTCATTGTTTCGGCAGCTTTTTCTTCAGCAGCGCGAAAATCGTCATCCAAGGTAGCACTGTTTTGAACACTGTGAGACACTTTGTTATTCGTTGGTGGCTGGTTACTTGACAAATCCATCAATGGACCAGACAGACCAAGCTCTCCTGATTTACCTAACCAGAATAACTGGTCTCTATTGAAACTCATGTTCCCCATGTGAATGCTGAAAAGGGATTCATTGGAAGCAATACTCCACTCCATTGGGGCCGTGGATTTTGTCCGAGCGAAGACATAAGACGGGATTCTATAACCGGAGGAACTAGGGTCATTAGGCCGTTCCATAACTTGAGTTGGAGGAAATTGTGTTGCTGAATTACTTTTACTATGGCCCTGAGCTGCTGGTTTCGATGGGGACCCTGCTATTTCATGACTATGCTGCTGCTCGTGAATAGGCTCAGAGGTGACTCGAATTTCCTCATCCTGACTCCGAGATGTTATTCGAGAATCTTCAAGATCTCTTGCATTATCTCGGAAGAGGCCTTTAGGGAAATATTCATAGGCAGGAGACGCGGGTGATGATAACGAGTTGTCTAAAATCTTGTCCGGGGTGGAAAGATCAGCCACTTTAGACGTTATAGTAGGAATAGAACTGGAATCATTGGCAACTGTTCTCGTATTCATGTGTTCTATGTTTGAAAATGTCTGACTTGGTTCGGACGTCAAAGTTGCCAAGCCATTGTCTTCCTCAAGAGTTGAGGGATCAGTGGAGCCTAAAGGGGTATTGGCGGTTTCATTTGCACTGAGTTGGAAAGGGCCTTCAGAAGATGAAGACGATGACGACAACGACGTTGAAAGGGAACGACCATGCTCTTGCATAGGATTAGAGCCAACGTGTATATTCTCATCACTACTTTCTGGAACTATAAGAGAATTCTCCGTTTCTCTTACAGTCATTTGGGAGTTGACTTCAGGGGGACATTCAGATGCATGGGATGCATTTGCACCGAGTTTGATAGGGTCTTTAGAAGATGATGACGATGACGATGAAAGGGAACAACCGTGCTCTTCCATAGGCTTAGAGCTGACTCGAATATTTTCTTCACAACTTTCTTGCGCTATTGGACAATCCTCAGTTTCTTTTACAGTAATTTGGGAGGTGACTCTAGGCGAACATTCAGATTCATGTGATGATGGTGCCAATACTGAATTATCCAACGTTTTGTCCACGGAGGAAAGATCAACGTCATTTGAAATTGTGGCAGGAATCGCTCTGGAATCACTGCTAGCTATGCTTACATTCCCATCTCCAGTATTTGAGAATGTTTGATTTGATTCATGTTTCAAAGCTATTGAGCCATTTTCCTCAAGTGGGGCATCAGTAGCCACTAAAGGGATGTCAGCAATTCCATTTGCACCATGTTGGAAAGAATCTTCAGAAGAAGATGATGATGGCGATGACGACGACGAGAGGGAACGGTCCCGCACATGAATAGGCTTAGAGCTAATTCCAATATCCAAATCATCACTTACTGTGACAACACAAGAATCCTCGGTTGCTCTTGCAATAATTTGAGGGTAAGATGGTGGTGATGACAAGTTATCCAACTCTTCATCCGGGATAGAAAGATAAGCTTCATTAGAAGTTGTGGCAGGAATTGCTCCGGAAGCACTGCTACCTATGCTCACATTCTCATTTCCGGTATTTAGGAATGTCTGATCTGATTCGCACTTCAAAGCTGTTAAGCCATTTTCCTCATCAAGTGTTGGGAAATCAGTGGAGCCTAAAGGCGGTGTATTAGCAGTTTTATTTGTACCGAGTTGGAATCCTTCTTCCAAAGAAGATTCAGATGACGACGACGATAATGGTGAGAGAGTGCGATTCAGCTGTTGGCCTGTAATGGAATGATCACCTTCACCAGAAGCTGTGGTGGCAGAATCTCTTTTCAAATCACTATTAGTTTCAATTCCATCTGCAGAGTCCATAGCTAAAGTTGTCACGCTTGATTCAGGCTCCACAAATCATGCTACAAGAAAACAAGAAATTTGGTTTTGATCCTCTTGAATACTCAAAAGGTGAACATTGAATTTACTGGGATAAAAGGTATATATGATATAATATATATATATATATATATATATATTTATGGCAATAAGAAGAAGATAAAATAAATAAAGTTATATTCAAAGAAATTTGCTTTGGCATCATTTTCTTTGGTGGACATCTTAGAATCTGAGTGTAGGGGGATTGGACTTTCTGCGTTACCATAATTTTTTTTTTTCCTTTGAAAACATTAAAGAAAGTTTTCTTGAATTTCAATGCCATGAGAACAAAACCATATCTTCAATTGAAATTTCTGATCCTTTATTTCTTGAAAGACCCGGTTAATTAAAATCTAACACATTTACCATAAGCATGAATCTCCCTTGCCCATTAAAAACATTATTTAATTCAATTGGAAACCATTGTTTTCAAACAACTGCAAACAAGAATAGCTATATGTTCATGCAATACTAAAATTCATTAACAGTTTATTCAAAAGAAAATTACGGTTAAGGGGGCAAAAAAAAAAAAAAAAAACAAAAGAGAGAAAAAATATGTATACTTACATGTAAAATTTGCCTTGCCCTTTTCCTATGTAAAAAAAGAAGGAATCCAGAGCCCTGCCTTCAAAAGTCAAGAAAGTCCATAGCCTGACGAAGGCAATCTTGTTTTTTGCATTGAAGCCCTCCTGAGTTAACAGAAAACGGTTTTGTGTGTTTGCTTTTTTATTTTTTTTGAACTTTTTGTGAAAAGAAAAAACATTGAGAAAACCAAGAAACAAAATGGAATGTGGTGAGAGAAGAATAAAAATAAAGGCGTTCCATAGCTTTAGGCGTTTGTTTCTCTAATCTTTTTTTCCCCCGTTTATTAAGAATTAATAAGAGGAGCAGTGGCAGTGCTTTAGAGGTAAATCCATCAAGGCAAAGCAACTGCCTAAATCCTTGTTATTAGGAAATTCTCAACTAATTATTCATGAAGACCTCAAAATATTTACAATAATAGTATTAAATGAGGAACCATTTGGTATTGTCTTTTTCAAACAGATTTTTTGTTTTTTAAACCAGAAAAATGAAAAATTATTTTGAAAACATTTTTTTTAAGAAAGTTAGTATAAAATTTTTTAAATTATGAAAACAAAAAATATATTATTTTTAAAAATTTTAAGTTATGGTCACTACTCAAGCTAAGGTCGCACCGGGAAGGGATCGGTGTCAACACCAAGTCGAGGACATCATCGGGCTATGGTTAGGCTGTCCGCCTGTGGTCAACGCTTAAATCGGGCCGATTGTCGACAAATTATCCTATAATTTGCCTATTTTTGAAAAAAATCCTATAATTTACTAAGCATCTTATTAAATATGCCATTTCATTCATTTTTTGTATAATATATATATATATATATTTAAATATGGCCATTTGCTTAACAAGGCCCTTGAATCTGTCATTTACTCCTAGTTCTCAAAAATCTCTTGATTTGAAGAGGTAGACTGAAAAAGATTTAGGGAAAAAATCAGAAATACCACATAAGGTGGTAAAAAATATTATCAATGCCATTATGTTAAAAAAATAATTATCATTTAATTAATAAAGAAAAATAAAAAATTATAATTCACACTTAATTATTTAAAATGTCATAATTAATAAATTAATAGAAAATGACAAATCACGTACAATTTTGATCAATGTCATTACACTAAAAAAATAATAATTATTTAATTAATAAAGAGAAATAAAAAATTATAATTCACACTCTATTATTTAAAATATCATAATTAATAGATTAATAGGAAATGACAAACGCGTACTTTTCTGAGAGATTTATCCGGCGGAGCCGCTGGTTACAACTTTGTGAGAAACGAGAACTGAAAAGTGG